TAGGTAAAGAAGATTTCCGCGATGAGGTCTAAGGTCGAAGAGGGGCCTGGTGGAAAAACACGCGGACCGACACGCAGTTCACAGCGAAGGATATGTCCCCGGCGGTTCAGCATGGCCCTCCCCGCGGCGCTATCGGCGCGGCACGCCCATCGACTGGCTAACCACTCATCACAGGTCTCTAGCCGTTTCGCACAGTGTGTTAACGTTAAAGAGGGCAGATCAATAAGAGTTGCACCAAGGCGGAATTCAACGACATGGAAAGGAGCCCATTTCTGGTTCCGCCATTATGCCAGTTCCGAACTGGGCATCATGGGTGGGAGACACTCAGGAATGCATATGAAATTTACGTTTTTCTCATAGGTCCTGCCCCTTCTAGGATTATTCCTAGGGCCACCAGAACTGGTTTCTCTGCTACACAATTGCCTCTATACAACTTAGCCTAGAAATTTTCACAAAACAAGAAATCTCCGAAAATAGCGTAGGAAGGAAGTCGCTACCAATTAATAACTCTGCAGGATTCCTTGAGCGGAAATCACTTGTATCATACACCAACAGACTGACCACCAGGCGATGAGCTCTCTATTCTCAAATATCATTGCAACGAATCCACTCCAAAATGCTGATTAACACATTGCGGACCGCCGTTATACGAAGTTCTTCATACCTTTTTATGTTTTAAAAATGAATCATCATTAATCTATCAACAATTTTATCAGTGATGATACTTATGCTTTCCTGGCTCTGAAAATGAGTGCAAACACTTCAGGAGCATTGAAAAATGCCAAATAAATCAGATAAAACTATGATCTTTCGCTTGAAATCGTGCGCCACATGGTGGCGCACGCGGTACGCAATGTGTTAAAAGAGATCGAAATACTGTTCTTAGGTTGCTGTCCGGAATGAGATTATTAGATTTGCAGGTTTGATGCTCGGGAAAAATGGCCCAACTGCACGTCACTCTTCCAGATCGTTGATCAAGCAGGTTGCGGTGAGTAGATCTCAAATCTTCGACATGCACAAAAACATGACCTCCTTGCAATTGGAGGCAGTTTGTGTTGTTATAGAATGTGCTTAAAGGTTGTTACGCAAGCAGAGGTAGAGTAAAAGCTGGCGTCCTTAGTCGCAGCTGAATGCTGTGAAACGAAGCCTGGGGTATTTAGCAATCTGAGTGAATTTTTAACCGTGAAAATCCACTTTGAGGGCCACTCCTTGCTATTTTATCTTTAGTCTGGAGAACACTCTTTCTCTCTGTCTAAAATAACGATAAGGATATATGAACGACTCATTTGAAGTGGATTTTTGGTAAGGTATGTGGATATGCTACACGTAACCACTCCCTGCGCACCATCCTATCCAAATTTTCTCAACAGAGTCGTCCACCCACAAGCCTCTCCACCCTTAAAGCAACAGTCCAGGAACGAATTTGCGGGCCAAAAGCACCTATATGGAAGTTGTAGGTGAAAAGTGGTCGAACGTAAAGAGAAAAAGTGAAGAAAACGCCCAACTGGGGCTTAGACAGGGACATGCCCTGCCGTTTAGGGAGACGTGTGTTGGACGAGTTGTCCGAACCTGCCCGTAGTACATGCGCTTTAATTGCAACTGCTGGCAAAATAGCTGCATGCTTGCAAATACATAACTATTTGCCAGCAATCGAAATTGAAGCGCTTCAATTGCGTTCTTATGGAATCGACCTCATACAGCGCGGCGGTCCCGCAACGACCGCTAGTCAAGCGCGGACTCTGCACAGCGTATGTTGGGCGATCCGCCTCTTTATGGGTGATCCGCCCCCTCCAAGAGGACTTCGACCCCTTCCAGCGCATTTTAGAGGTAGGTTTTGAAATTAAAGACATTTCCTATAAACTTTAGTTGGGCTGGGGCATGTTTTGACCGCCTAATGACCAAGTAGTTGAAACCCTGCCTGGACTGTTGCTTTAAGTGGGTCAGACTTTGATAAAGGAGTGTATTGGTAGTGTCCGCGGCCTCGTGCGGCTCCAGCGACTCAACGCGGCGACGCAACCGCGGACGCTAGCGAGTCGTTAGATTCGCCAAAGTCTGACGTTGCCTTAGGCAGAAGCAAAGCCATCCAGTCCTCTGATGCAGGGCTGCTTCCTTGGACCTTTACAGCCACCACTCTCTCACACCACCTCAGGAGAACTGTAGAGTACACCGATAATTAGATAGAGGTGCACGTTAAATGATCGATAACGTGTCACGAGCGCTCCCATTCTTATTTAGGTATGAAGAACACAATCCAGTGCCACAACCTCCCCCCCCTGACTGCATTTGCACCGCAGCTCACTAAAAGGCTTTTCAGGCTCGTGTCTGGGCGCTCGCAACGACTTCCGCGATTTCGGATCGACTTGTATCAACACCAAAGGAAATTTAAGGAAAATAACATGGTTGATAGTCGTAGCCAGATTGAATTGATCAATGAATTCAGGTGAAATATCTCAGCTGAGGAGATCTCTTGTCATGCTGCCCAAAACATGTGGCCACTGATGCGGAGTTTTCTGCATATCTTCAACAGTACGCTACTAGTCACATTATGATGAAGGACAGGCGCAGGATGGTGCGTAACGGCTTATGGCTCACTCATTCGCCGTGAACACGAATTCTGGAAGGTAGAGCGGTTTCTGACTGCGACATGGAACGCAGTTGGTGACCAGGCCCTCAGCACGTTGCGGAGTAGGACTTGGGACCACCTCCCAACATCCTCCTACCAATCACGCTCAGTGACGTAACCAAAATCGCGTCGCCCTCAAGCCATCATACCCAACCCCTTCAACTCAAACACAGTAAGCTTCTATAAGTTGCTAGGTGAGGCGCCTCGATATGAAAGGCACTCCTGAGCAAAAAACCACATGAAACGCTCGGATACGGTATTTTCACCGGACACTTTTGCGCCTTATACCTTAGAATATTCTTTATTACACGAGCTAATGCTCGGTGTGGCAAGCGGACCTCTATGCCAAAGGGATGGAACGGTCGCAGTGAGTTTTTACTTGCCACTGCTCTGATCTCCTCGAGGGTTTCTTCGACACGACTGTCGAAAACTGACCACAGTTGATGAGCGCTTGGTGGTGTGATTTGTGACCGTAAACAACACTTAGAGACACGTTCAGCTCTAAAGACAAATTCAGCCGAAACGTCTGGCCATTGAAATAATAAATGTTCTAACTCGTGAGGCACAAGAAATTTAACAGCTACACGCACTTTTCTGCACAAGCGCCAACATATCGCATTTGGACCCTCCCTCTACCCTCTTCACCATTCACCAGTTCCTTGCATAAACATCATTTAAGCGAGCTTGTCAAATGTCCAGTGTTTAAATTGCTACAGAAACCATATGTGGGCTGTTCAAAGCAGAAAACCAGTCGATAGAAGCCCTCCGCAGAGGACTGACAGTGTCCGAACGACCCGTAAGTGTAAAGAAAGCAATAGAAATCTTTGGGAACGCTGGAATTAAGCCTTCATCTTTCAAAAAGTTGAATGGGGTACGATGGCAAGACAAGGCCTATCAAAAAAGCCAAAACACACGAGAGAGCACGCTGATCTCTATATCAATCGAGGTGGGTGGGAAGCGTTGTAACGGGGATCGACGGTTGCAGGCCCCTAGGATTAGCGCCCTATTTTTACAACGAAGAGGGAGTGTCTTGAGTAGGTACGATATTACCAATTTCCCGCGCATCCCACAAATCACTACTAATTTCGGTCCTGCTTTGAGAGGAACTTTATTGAGTAAGCCCTTACTGCAGAAACAACTTGATCCACTGACTCGATTGTTGCCGAAGAGACTCGTTCGACAGGGTATGTTTTCGTACAAAATTGGTACTAATTTTTGCAGATGCCTAGGCGGTTGGCCGATTCGCGGCTTCAGGTTCTTTGCAAGCGACGGTCTCGTAACGGGAGGACCTTTTGGCGATAAGGTAAAGTTGCAAGAGATCTGGTGAGTTTCTTGCGAATTTTAGTGATTTTTTTTTGATAGAACTCCTGCCGACCGTACGAGGTTCCCCCGCGTGGATGGCGCAAGCCCAAAGACTACTACCATTTTTCGCTGTCTCTTGTCAATGGAAGTTCGGTCATGTGTCAAAAAATGTCAACCAGGCTACAACAAGACTTACGAGGAGGACAAGTATTATGGTACTGCATATTTGATATCAAAAAAATATAGCCGATCTCGCTCATAAGAATCTACTGAAATTCGTTCAACGATTAGGAAAAGTGCACTAGACTGGCAGATAGTTTCTGCATTGGCAGAGCAGTCACGCTGAGGTGGGAGGGATTACTTCGCTGTGAAAATGAATGTGTTGTCGCTGGGTAACAGGGGACCTCTTTTTTTGACCACGTTTTTTGTTTTTGTTCTCATTTGCTCGCTCTTGCCTAAATGATAACCTCGCGCTGACGGCTGACAACTCCAACCGAATGCAGCAACTTTTATCTCGCAAAGATGCGCTATGTAGGCGTAACGTTTGGTCCATCGTTCGTAGGAGCAGCCCGAACCTCCCGACTAGGTGAGTAGCCATCGCCGCCTGCATGGAATATGCGGATATACAGGGGGGGGCAAAAAAAAAGACATTTTGCCCATGTCGCACTTCGGCCCTTTTTTCTTCGCAGAGATTGCCGTCGTTGACGGGAAGTTCCTCAGCAAGTATTCCCTAAATGTCCCTCTATAAGTAACGCAGGCCCTCCTTCACTGCCCTCACCGTCTTCAGAATATGACGTCATCTGTCATCGTCGTCAAGCTCAAGGAGGCCTACCGTAACTGCTTCAGCCTGAAGCTCTTACATAATTTCGTGAATCGATTCAATGTTGGATAGTTTCTAGAGACATTAGCTCCCATGCAAATCCCCTCGAAACTAGCTTTCCAGTAAAGGTCGTTATGGTACACGATCCTTCGAAGACCCCATTGAGCTCGACCAGTGCACCATGTTTCCGGGGCAAATTTTTCTGATGCCGTCCACGTAGGTGGCCACTATGAAGATTTTCTTATAAATGAAATGTGCTCTTCATACTAATAAATCCATATGGATGTGGAGACAGAATGTCCTTTTTTTTATTGCACCTCCCCCCTGTATAAGGTAGTTGCAAAAGTGGACATTTTCAGATGCGCTAACTAAGGTAACTTTAGTCGTGATAGCAACATTTCCGTACTCACAAGGAAAGGCTCCCAGGTCGCCATGGCCATTCAAGAAGAGATGTATACGCCTAGATGTGCCTTTGAACGCTGATCTCAAATCTACCTTCCAAATCTGCTAAACGATTCTCTGAATGGAGTTATGAAGCAAAACAGCGCAACGGTAGTGGTCGATGTTTACAGTCAAAACGTCGTAGGATCGATCCTCTATCGCGTACAGCAAAATAGGCTGCCAAAATCTTTCCAGCTGATTTTAAGGAAAAAGTAGGACAAAACCATTACAAGG